TGCCTAAAAAACCGTATCCACCCTTCCCCTCCGTCAGGATTTCATCTTGCGACAAGGAACGTTACACCTGACGTCATATCGACTACGTCGAACCATGTTGTTGGGTATCTCCTTTCATCTAGGTTTTATGTATGCCCTACGGAACATTCATAATTTTTTTATTAGTTTTCGTAGCTTATAAAAATCGTATCTACAGTATAACGCAACTCTCGAGCACCCACTTTGTAATTTTGCCTGTATCATTTGCGGATGAAATAAATGAGGTAAGTGAAGGGTGCAGTCAAAGAGGGCGCCACGAGTGTTCTTCCCTTACCATTAAAAGTGATCAGTGTCGGTAAGCGTAGGTAAGCCACCACCGTGAACTGCTGCATGGTATTACCATCATGAGTACGTGAGCCGCCAGCGGCGACTGGTAGATGGCACCGCCATCGCGAGTGCGTGGGTCCCTGTCAGAAATTTGATGCGCCGCCCTTGGGCGCAAAAAACGGTGAAAGCTCACGTACAAAACCAGAGGGCAGCACACGACGCGATCGCGCGACCCTGCCCGTGAGCAATCTCCCAACTCATCTCTGTGTGGTAGAACATTTACGTTTTTAACCCGTGATTAACTTAGATGTTAACTTTAACCTACAGTTAAGTAATCAATGATTTAACCAAGGTTGGTGGAACCGAGCATAAGTATTTGTTTAGTACCACATGGCGAGTTTATATTTTATTAAATAGAGAAGAGAAACGGAGACAGTTGCTTATTCGACGTAATATAATGTTGCAGACATGGATGTACAACGTACGCGCACTATCGTTGAGGTTATCCTTAATACATGTACTTCAAAAACTAAAAAAGAGTGACCTGCCATGTAGTACTTGATAAATAATCAGTCAATATTTTACGGAATATTATGTTTATGTGGACGGGACTTTTTCATTGTAAAGGTTTTTAGGCTACTTTCTGCAGACACGCGTCCGCGATGAGTTAAATGATAATTAATCGTACGTAATTATACATCGGAACATGAATGAGTAGTAACATTTTCAAGCTCGCATATAAATACATTAAAATGACGTTAATTTCGACGGATAAAATAAGTAGATATATAATTGTGACTTGTATACTTGGCTTTGTAATATGATTTAAGTGTTTTTTGTATGAAAACTTTATATGAATACATATAAATTTTATACGTATTAATTTTTGGTGTACGTGGTTCACAGCATTCGTGTACTCAGCGAAGTATTTTACATGGAAGTGTTTTTGTACGGGAGCAATGTCTCTTTTATTACTATAAGTACTATGGTTCCCCTGATGAAGCTCGGGATATAAGATATACGGAGGAAGAATGGGTGTCGACCATTTTAACCTATTACTGATATTTGTTTTAAGAGGAAGTAAAATAATTTCAAGAACATACACAGTAACTGTTACTGTTGTTTGTACCATTTATTTTCTTAACATGTTACGATCTTCTTATCATTTGGGGAACAAATCATATCATCATAATCTTATCATACTTCAAAAAGGCACCTTATACATATTTTGGCTGCTGCTGCTCACAAATGTAAGATTGCCTACGGGTGCGTAGCTTAGACCATAGATATCCAGACCTCGCATTGCAGTGGAAGAGGTGAACGAATGTACCCTGTAATCCTACAACTCCTCCACACAGTTAAAGATTTCTGCTTACTGAAAATTTGAGCCTGGGGGGTCCAATGCGAGGTACAGATATGTATGATCTAAGGTGCGTAGCATGATAAGATGGTCATAGTCTCCTTGTCTTACGCATCGAGCATCAGTCCCTTTGTTTAAAATTTCACTTTATGTCCCATCCGTCTCTTCAAAGGTCCTTGTACGGAACATATTGTCCGAAAAGGAGCAATTGAGGGATTGCATTATTTTTGCATTTCATTTAAAGAAAAACGCTGCTCAGGATGTTGAAATGATTTGTTCCATTTCGAGTTAGGGTGCTGTGACTTAAAAACTCGTAAAAAGTGGTTTTAGAGGTTCCGAGATGAGAATTTCAATCATACTGATCAAGAACCATCGATAAAACACTCACTGTTTTATCTGTTGTAATTTATATTGCACGAATATTTATATCGGAATTAAACAAAGAACACCAAAAGTAGGGATTATGTATTCCTAATCTGATTATTTTGTTTTAGTTTTATTATTTAGTTTTAATCGTTGGTGTATAGTACTGGATTGACTGCGTATATTGTTGGCTATTGGCGAAGAATAAAACGAAAACTGAAGAAACTTTCTCTGATATAACTACTAACCCCAAATTTGTTCTAAAATTAAAAGCAACGATGGGTACTTAGTCCAGTATTATACATATGTCAATGGTGTAGGACGTATATGAACTAAGACCGTAATATATAAAAAAGAAAACATATTTTTCTTTATTTGTCTTCGTCAATTCTAATCCGGCCTTATTTCCAATCTAAATAAAAAAATATTTATTTAAACAACATTTTCTCTAACATTAAATTTTTGTGTTTACAAAAGTATCGAGTGAGTCACATTTGGGCATGGACAATTTGGACATGAGCACTATTGAAGAGGAATTAGTCAAAAAACTACACTCATATTGAAACGAGCACGAGCTACTAATTATCGCGACAAGAAAAATGGCCATAGGAGATATTTGTGTCCTCTCGCACAGTCCTTCGAAAAGTTTTGTTAACGTTCAGATGTTAAGGTGATGTTAAAGTGGCGTCAAAGAGTTCTCATTCCTGAAACTTTTCTCCAAACTGGGTGTACCGAATAGATTCAAACTGTACAACATAAATATGGCGGGTATAAGGAAGGTCCTGAAACTCATGAAATTTCAATTTTTTCCAAATTCGTTGATATTTTTAAAATCGGTTATAAAGAGAAAATGAAATTTAATGATTATCAGGACCTTTCTTATAGCCTCCACATTCACGTTGAAAAGTTTGAAGCGATTCAGCACACAGTTCCGAGAAAAGTTTCATGAACAATTGACTTCTCTGATGCCACTTTCACATCCCCTTAACTGTGTGAGTGAGCGGTCGGGTCACAAAATGCATTTGTTTACCCCTTTCGCTGCAAAGCGAAGTCTAGATATGTATGGTCAAAGTTTCATATCCACCGTACCGACGCAAAAATGAGCGCAGTGATATCAATACCGCGATGTCCAAATCGTCCGCTCAATGGGGACCCTTCAAAAGTAATCATATCGATTATAAATGAAAAGTATAATTAACGGTCTTACGATTACTATAAAACAACAAAAACGCTTTGGTACTTATCTTCAAAATAATAAAATCATTTCAAGGATATTTTGTACGTGTCCAGGTGTGCATTAAACCTTTGTACACAAAGTTCTTAAAATTAAATCGGTCGTCCGTTTTTAACAGTGAAACGATTTTTAAACTATACGTAAATCATATCGCTTAAGTGGGTATAAAAGAACGTTTTAAAATCTCCTTTTACCAATAAATCAAAATGTTATGCAAATGCAAGAATCAGTGAAAAAGAAAAAAAAAAATGTTTTCTTCTGATCATTGTCATTTCTCTTAATGGATACAGTCGTTTATTCTTTGTAACGAAGCAATGTTAACTCTGAATTATGTGTTTATAATCTTTATAAAATTCGTCGCAACACCTTTTCTTTTCCCTGTCCCGATAATATTGAATCTCCTTTTAACGTTTCAACGGAAGCCGATACATCGTCCTGCTTCACTCCTTCTGTCTCATTTAGTGCTGGTTCTTCTAATGCAACCATATCATTAATAGGTTTTATCAAATCAGTCTTCTCTTTTAAGGCACCTAAGTATTCACTTTAATCTCTCCTAACTGATAAGTCCATGTAATTCGGACAATATGTTCCTTGCCTAGGTTCAACAGTTTGGAGCTTTCGACTCAAATTCCGTTTAAGTAATGCAACAAATTTCTCGTCTCGTTCTACCACATTCTGCGAAACACATTTTGTGTTCTGATTCCGCGAAGGTGGAGGGACGTGGCTCCTTTTCAGATGCTTGGCAGGGGATTCCAGCACAGTTTTGGCACATCTTTTGGTTGAACTTGTTATTTGAGAACATTTCTTATTCGTTTTTACCGCAGCCTGGACAACTTTATTGTGATTCTGGTCAATATTATCGGCAATACTCTCCTGGTTTTTATTTGGGGTATTATCAATCAGTCTCTGGTCCAACGTAGTCTGGGAATCACAGTCCTCGTCCTTCTCCAACCTAACATGAATAGCATACCCCTTTACTGGATCCAGATTAGTTTCGATAACGTATTTCTTGTCCTGGTACTCTATTGTTCTGCTACTATGTTCTATGATTTGATTAGATATACTTGAAAGATCATTGGTGTTTGGATCCTGATTTTCTGATACCTGGGATGAGGCGTTGTAGTTATTAACACTTCTCTTACGAAGTTCAGGGATCTTCCGTTTCCGGCGCTTCACACTCTCTTGTTTTGTACTTCTGCGGATAGATGATTTAACCTTATAATGTGGTTTAGTCTTTACCTCATCGGGGTCATCCCTAATTTTTTCTCGTAAGCGTGCCAATCTGACGGGTCTACCTTTCGCGCTCTCAATGGCATATCGCTCGTCGATCCGTTCCAAACGCACGAAGCAATCCCTCAATATAGGTATTTTTATCCTAGAACGTGGCCAATGGAAACTTATATTCGATTCGTTAGATGAAGCCGAATTACTTCGACTTCGTTCTTGGTCCGTACCAACATTATCGACAAATTCGTTCGTTTGTATTTTTAATGCGGGTTTGTCACTACGTTCCCCAGAAGGTTCCTCTTTATTAGGTTGCGATTTGAACACGGAAATTTTGGGTAGCTTTGGTATCGAGTATTTTCCGCTCACTTCAACAATGTCGTTAAACATTTCCGGCAATGAATCAGATTCGGCAGGTTGCGATGGCTCCGGTTCCAAGTACTTTTCGTCTATTTCGATAATGTTGCAAGGGCCTTCCACCAGTAGAGAAAAGTCGCTAGTTCGTGGTCGTTCCGAAGTCAAGTGCTTTTCACTCATCTGTACAATTTTGCAAGGAACATCCAGCGTTTGATGACACTCGATAATTTGTAATGGATCCGGTGTCAAGAACTTTTCGTCTATTTTAATCATGTCGCATTGTGGATCCAGCATTTGATTGAAATTGGTAGTTTGAAATCGTTCCGATGTTAAGGGCTCTTCATTCCGTTGCACAATGCTGCAACATCTATCCAGTGACGGCATAGACATGGCAGTTTGAAGTGGCTCCAGCGTGAAGAACTTTTTATCTTTTTCGACAATGTCGCAAGGTACTTCTAATAGCGGATTAGACCCGATAGTTTGAGGTCGTTCCAATGCTAAGGGCTCTTCATTCAGTTTCACAATGCTGCAACATGTATCCAGTGACGGCATAGACATGGCAGTTTGAGGTGGCTCCGGCGTGAAGAACTTTTTATCTTTTTCGACAATGTGGCAAGGTACTTCTAATAGCGGATTAGACCCGATAGTTTGAGGTCGTTCCAATTCTAAGGGCTCTTCATTGAGTTGCACAATGCTACAACATGTATCCAATGACGGCATAGACATGGCAGTTTGAGGTGGCTTCAGCGTGAAGAACTTTTTATCTTTTTCGGCAATGTCGTAAGATACTTTTAATAGCGGATTAGGCCCGATAATTTGAGGTCGTTCCAATGCTAAGGGCTCTTCATTCAGTTGCACAATGCTGCAACATGTATCCAGTGACGGCATAGACATGGTAGTTTGTGATGGCTCCGATGTCCAGAGCTTTTCGCCCGTCTGTACGATATTGCAAGGTATTTCCACCGTTTGCTTAGATTCGGCAGTTTGTGGTGACTCGCGCACCAAGCTATTTTCGTTAAGTTGAACAATGTTCAAAGGCTTTTCTTGTGCTGAATTAGTTGCTGAAACAGCTTGATCTACTACAGCCATTGCTTCGTCTGCAATACCAATTGTGGTACCAAACTTCTGTACAGAGTCGAGGTTCACGCGTTGTACAGAAGTATCTGAGCTTCCATGGGACTCAAGCTCCAATGGCCTTTGAATCGGTTCAATGGTATTGTTGGGTGCTTCTAAAGTTCCATTTTTTTCAGGGGTCTCTAGAACCTCGACCTGGTCTAGCTCCTCATTTGCTTGCGTCAGCATCTGTTCTAGCTTCGTTATGTCCTTCAAAATCTCTCCCATCAGCGTAGTTGTTTCACCTAGCATCGCCATCTCTTCGTTGATAAAAGATTTGCGTCTTTGGTTGTCTGATTTCCTCAGCGTTGTACACATGGATGAAGAATCATGCAATTTAGTATCTTTGTTAAAGTTCAACAGATCATTCGTTCCAGTTATCTTTGTGCGCCTTGATTTCGACGGCCCTGCTTCCATTGTTCTCTCCGGAAATGTCCACTGATGGCTTTCCATTGCCTTTTGGGTTGCATGGATTTCACCCGGGACGTGCTCCCCCAAATCGATTTCTGTGATACTATATAGTTCGTTAAAACCCTTTTTTATCGATTCCAAACTACTCTGTACTTCCTTTGACTTTCCTTGACCAATACCCTGCCGATCGCCGTTCTCCCTGGAACTCTCCCTCTCCCCTTCATCATCTTCATCAGCTGGACCTGTCGAGCTTTCCGAGACCCTGCAATCTACTAACGTGGTAGTTCCTAACCCAAGTTCTTTCAATCCCAATTCTGGTCTAGCTTCGCCTGTCAACGAGTTAGACTGTTCTATCGTTGGTACTAACACGTCCCACTTTTTAATGTAGACACAGTTCATTGCAGTATCTATCCGCACCCCGATTTCCCTGAGAAAGTCCATCCCAAGGTGCATACGTAAGTCCCCTGTGTCCATGACCATGCATTTCCACGTTGTCTCCTTCTTTTCTATGTCGATGGATAAAGTTACCCAATTCTGCATGGAACAAGTTTCTCGATTAATGACCGAGCATCCCTTATCCCGTTCGCGGTCATTTTCCTGAAGTACCACACCCATATTCTCTATTCTTTTCAATTCGTCAGTGCTGATGATCGTCACTTCTGACCCAGTATCAACCACGGCTTCGACGTACACATTATTGACACTTACTGGGATACTTAGACTCCCTGTTGTCCTATTATCAGAGTACTTCCGGACATTTCGAGTAGCAACGAGTAGTTTCTGCTTAATTCGCTGTTGTACATCGATGAACTTTCTCATCTCTGCTTCAGTTGTTGGCTTTGTAGATACTTCTCTGGGCTCATTTCTATCCAGGGATTGATAAATCTTTCCGTCATCCATACATTTTTTTTTAGTTTCAAGCACATCTTCACATTTATTTTTTGTACCGCTTAAAAGTTGGGGTTGTTCTTCGCATGGGTCCATTATCACTTGTCGTAATGTTTGTTCTGTTTTCTGCTGCAGAGATGAGATCTCTCTTGGAGAACAATGGCCACTCGAACACATCTATCCTCAGGATGTTGCTTTCCTCGTCTAATTCGTCCATGTATTCTTTCATATTGTCTACATTGCCATAACCCGCTTTATGTTCTTATCCGTAGTTTTTTCTTTTATTATTTAACGACCTAATCTATATCACTACTATGCACTAGCTTTGCCTGTTTCATTATCAGTAAACTGAGTTTAGCTAATACTGATTAATAAAATATTCTGTTATTATTAATATAAGTAAACAATAAGTACTGAATGGAGATGAAGTTTTGATGATTTTCATTGCTAATGTCCCTGGGTTTTCATTGTAGTTTTTGTAAGACGAAATATCTTGTCTTTAGCCTTTAACCTGGTGACCAGCCGTAACTTCTTGAAAAAGAGTCTGTAAAATGAGAGATATGGGGATTGTTCAGATTAGTAATTATATTTAAATGATTTTCATTCAAAATGTATGTACATAAGAGACAGGATGTATCCTGCTGAAAAAACGAACACAACGTGTCGAAACGGCCAGATTTCGTTGAGTATCCTTGACGTGTCCTTCGTTGAGTGTCCTTCTATAAAAAATAGAAACAAGCAGTGTAACTTAAAACTAACAAATAACATAACATTTGTTATAATGTAATAACCTAACAGTTATGTAACATGGAGCTAACTAGTTACATGACATTTGTTACAATGCAGTAACTTAACAGTTATGTAATATGGAGCTAACAGGTAACATAACATTGGTTACTCTCATCTTACATTATGTTACTGTCCTGATAATACTGTGTATATGCAACACATATTTGTAACAAACCAGAACTGCATTGTTGCCGTCATCTATTTTATTACATCATCGTCATCGTCATTGTCATAATTCATCGTCAAATGTCATAAGATTAATATATGTCATATTTTGTTTACTACTCGTATGAAAAAATGTGACTTTAATTCATACGCGCATATACATTATCAGTCATTGTTCGCTAGTCGAATGAAATCCTAATTGTCTTTAAGTAAAATCAGATAGTTTACCATTACATAATTTCAATGAAAGTCTGATTTGTCATTTAATATGTAACTATTGTCACGTACCAAAAAATAATTAAAAATAAAAAATTCTGTAATTTTTGATAAAATTGTATGCTTTTTTATTAAATGCATGAAAAATTAATATTATTTTAAGGTAACTGAAATTATAACATTAACATAACGTGTTACCTTACTGAGTGGGAAATAGTAACTAACATCTAACTTCCATGTTACTTTTATGCTATATAACATGTTAGTTTCGAAAACGTAACATTTACTCAACAGTTATATAACAGTGTTCACTGCGTAGTCGAACAACTTAGAATACCGCAGAAATGGAATATTACAGAGTCAGATGGGAAAATATGGAAAATACTTTCAACAACAATTGCAACAGAATGCTGGCTTATCTCCTGGGTAACACGTGTTCTTAGAGCAAAAAATGAATTGCAGCTCGTGTCACATATGGCACCATTGGTCCATTAGAGTGGCACAAATCATGAATCCACAGAATTTCTACAGTTTTACATCGATCTCTTTATCATTACTTTACCACGAGTCTATGTCAGGTTTCACTGAAGTTCGTGAGTGGGGTACGGTGAAACATTTGCATTTCTTGAAAATATCTAAACCTATACAAACATTCGATGATATTGATCAACTAAATAATATTTAACTACATAATAAAAAATGTATTTAGCAATATGCACTATGTCCCATTTTTCAAATGATCATGATTATAAACTTATCATGGATTCAAACTTCTATTGTACCTCAACCTCTCGTACAGAAACTTACATTAACGGATCATGAAACTCATTAGACCTTTTCACTATCTTTCTACTAGTATCTCTCTGAAATAGGACCAAAAATGTATAGAAATGTTCAGAATGTATACGTACATGCTCCGTACGTTTCTGTTCGTTATTTCTGCAGAATAATACTTAAAAAAACAGAATGTAATGTAATAAAACGAAACGCGAAATAAGTAAAAATAAAAAATAATGGTTTCAAATATATCCCTAGATATTGTTTGCTAAACGATAATGTAAAACAGGCTTATTAAAATTTATGTGAAAAGAATTTCACAAGAAAAGTGGTTGCAATCGCATTAAAAAAAAGCCATATGTATCTAAACTATGTAACAAAACATCCAGATGCATTTCTTGGACTTATTTATATACATAAAATCCTAAATCCTGTAAAATGGCAATAAATAAATGTTTAATATTTCTAAATATATTTTATACAAAACAGAGTAAATTTAAAACATTGTAAGTGATTATAGGAGAACTTTCAAATTGTACCTAGCGAGAAAAATTTACAGAAAACTAGTTGCGTCAATGCTACTGTTACGATGACTGTTTAATACATAATACAATTGTATGCATTAAATATTAAGTATATTTTGCCTTACGATCAATAAAATAATGAGCCAACTCCTTGTTGGTTCATTAATATATGTACAAAATTTGATTTACTTACATTCCAGATATTTTATTATCAGAATTATTTAGTCAAGTCTAAAAGGAATTGTAATAGTGCGTCATCGATACCTGTGTTGATTAACATTAAAAACTTAAAGTGAAAACTCTGTAAACTTATTCATTAAATGAATACAAAAGTATACTGATGTTAACGGTAATTTCTTTAAATGTCTTCGATAAAGATTATCCACTGGACCTTGAACTAAAAAGCTGATGTTAGGTAAAAGCAATTCTCAAATTAGTTGCATAAATCATGTACTATATCTGACATTTTAAATGTTTAAATTCAGTGTTTAACCTTTTATGTTGAAAACATAAGAAATGTATGTATCATGAATTCATAAAGTGAATTACACTGCAATTAACATTCTTAAAGAAATCCTCAACGAAATACACAACTGCATACACAATTTATCTGCATATCATATATTGAACTATTCCTAATATTTCCAAAACTGTTGTGTTAAGCATAAATAATTAAATAAGGTTCATCTTTATAAGTATTCTTTGCATTTCAAAAAAACACTAGTATTATTAAATATAATAATCAATTACAGAATTTGTTAGACAAAATAAAATTGCAAACACAATTATTTGCCATCAAGCAATATAAAACAAAAGGGCTTTTGCTTCTGTTTTTAATTAAGAAAGTTTATAATCGGTTCAACAAAATTGGAGGCTGCTTATTTTGTGATTTCATATGCTTTATTTTCTGTTAGTCGTTCAATTTATTCTGCAATTTCTTATTATTTGTAGTAAGTGCTGAAATGCGTCTTTATCAAAATGAATTTAAAGGAGAATGAAAAGGTATAGGAGCTGTTTTCTGAAGAGGATGTTTTATTTTATATTTTACAGAAAATTTCAAACCAAAAGTTTTAAAATGTTTAATAATGGCATGATTACGGTAGAACAGTTTTTATTTTCATCCGTGGCGTACCTAATTCCAGCAAAAATGCATATCCGAAACAAACAGTTAATGTGAGTTTAGAAACCAGAAAAGATTATCTATGAAATGATGACACATTTATTCAATGAAAAAGAAACTCATGTTCTAATAAAATAAAATCAATAGAAATCTCTTTTTCACGGCTTTTTACGCTTTAATCGTTACCTCTCGAACGAACATTTTTACCAAAAATCCCTGTCGTCAGTTCTTAAATCAATTTTTCCAGTTTCAAAAACCACTGTCACTTTCAGCCTCGAACTTGTTGTTCTCTATAAAAGATGAACAAATGAAAACAAACCAAACAACTTTCAGTCTTTACAAGACCACTGTTAAATGTATTAAAAGTCTGCTTAACTTAAATTATCATAAATACATAAAATAAAACATCTTATATAAATATATTTCTATACCTTCTCATTCTCTTCTAAACTTACTTTGATTAAAATATAATTTTCAGTCTACAAACCTTCTCATTTTTGAGATGACAATAAATACTGTGATCAAAACTTTGTTATCTAGCATTAAATTAGTACACATATTATTACTTATTGTTTCTAACTACTATTCCTGTTATATTTGTGAGATTGTACAAAACTGCAGTATTTATCAGTCATAATTGAAACACAGTGAACATTTATCAGTATTAAAATACGCCCCTTTTTTCATTATTTTTCATAACCATGCCGATTTGTTGTCAATACGAAACTGGACTCTGTCTTCTTTGAAACTTTGTTCTTTGTGAAGTTATTTAAATGATACCACAATTCCGACTATTTTCAGTTTTCGAAAGGTAACAAGAATTTAATGTTATCTTGTATAACATTAACACAAACTATAATTGTCCTTACCACCAACAAGTATCGGTCATTATTCAGGATAAACGATGGGATTTATAATAAAAGATATTTCCATTGTTCAAAATGTGAAATAAAGCAATTCAAAAGCCGCTTGGGGTAGTTGATAAAATAGAAAACGAAACGCAGTTTACCAAATATTATGCAGCTTATCGATTACAGCGCCACATGTGCAACTAGTCGTATTACGTCCGTTGTGCAACTGGTTACACTGACTCCATCGATGGCTTGCACCTGGTCC